CAGCCTCTCCTTTTTTTTCTTTTTCTTTTTTATTCTGGGATTTATTTACCTTCTATAATTGAAACTTTGTAGCCTTGAGAGGAGCTCAGAGCCGGCCAGGGCAGGCAGGAGGGAAGCTTGGCTTCCTCCATCACTGGAGCAACCAATCTTCCTGCTCGCTCCAGCTCCATGGCCCGCCGGCTGAAAGCAAGTATCTGGGGTTTATTTACCTTCTATAATTGAAACTTTATTGCTTTGTGTGGAGCTCAGAGCTGGCCGTGCAGGCGGGAAGCTTGGCTTCCTCCATCATTGGGGCAACCAAGCCTCCTGCTTGCTCCAGCTCTGTGGCTGCTGGCCGCCATCTTGGTTGTGTTAATTTGCATATAGTCACACTGATTGGCTGGTAGGCATGGCTTAAGCATAGTGAAGGTACGGTCAACTTGCATGTTTGTCTTTTATTAGTGTAGACAACCACTTCCAAGTACATGTAATTGAGCCCTTGAAGCATTTTCAATTAAAGTAAGCTGAAGTATAGAACACCAATTCTCAGGCCATAGTTTATAGGCCTTTCCTGGGAATAGATTCTCTTAACTCACCAATGTCAAGAATTCTATCTCCAGGTCGGTTCCACCTCCAGCCCTCCAGCTGCTGGTGTTCAGTGTATTGTAACCGCCTGTCATGGAACACTACACGAAATATACTCTAAAAGGAAGCAACAAAATCAAATGATAATAGGATTCCTTTAAAATAAATGCTGGCAAACAAAAAATTGCAGGAGTCACCCCCAGTTGGTTTCTAGATACAACCTAAAATTGTTTTTCTTAAGACCTATTTCACTCTAAGACCCACACCATACCAAGCTCTAATTCAAGGTAAAGTTTATAATTGCTCAGATATAATCTTTACAATTAACCAGTTCATATTTGCTGAAACATCAGTTCTGATGGTAACTAAGCATAAAGGACTCATATCAGAAGCATTTCTACATGCCCCTACTGCTATCATGTAATATTCGGCTTGGCTCTTCAGATGTATATCAAAAACTCACCAAGGCCCTTGCTTGCTAACCTGCCATATAAACTGTAAACACAGAGCAAGTAGCAGCTATTTCCGTCAACTTTACTTTTATTATGCTTACTTTTCGGAGGTGCCTATTAATATCCTTCTTATCACTTTTTACAGCTGCTGCCCAAACTCCTCTGTTTGTACTCCTCTGTTTGTACTCCAATTGTACTGTGAATTCATTACCATCAGTCTAGTCCAGTGGTCGGCAAACTGTGGCTCTTTGACCCCTTAAGTGTGGCTCTTCCACAAAATACCACGTGCGGGCGCGCATGTACAGTGAAATTGAAACTTCGTGGCCCATGCGCAGAAGTCAGTATTTTGTGTTGTCTAGACCAGTGGTTCTCAACCTTCTGGCCCTTTAAATACAGTTCCTCATGTTGTGACCCAACCATAAAATTATTTTCATTGCTACTTCATAACTGTAATGTTGCTACCGTTATGAATCGTGATGTAAATACCTGATATGCAGGATGGTCTTAGGCGACCCCTGTGAAAGAGTCGTTCGACCGCCAAAGGGGTTGCGACCCACAGGTTGAAAACCGCTGGTCTAGACAAAGAAAACTGCTATTCGTCAACACTAGCTTGTTTTCCTTGCAAAAAGACAAAGTATCCAAAGAGACGGGGGAACTTCTCTCAAGATCTCAAGGATGTTACTGTATTCCACCCGAAAAGAATTTCACTGAGCAGCGAAACTCTCCTCCATGGAGTGGTAAGCCTTCTGTTCCTGCAGCTCTGAAAAATCTATGTGAACAGAGGGGCTCACTCTGACCCCACATTCTGCCAGTAAACTGTAGCAGGTAAGATACCACCAAGGCTTTTATGGAAGCAAAATAATATTACAAAGAGTCACTATAAAGGATGTTTATTCATTTTCTTTTACCTTCACCAACTTGCCATTAATTTCTGGCAGTTCTCCAAGTTTCCTGTTGTCTAGCATTCGGATTTCATAAGACTGTCCTGGAAGAAAAAGTAACTACGTATTATATTCATTGTAATTAATGTTCCAAAATTCAGAAAGAAAAAATTCAGTTGAGAGGTTCATTGTGGCAGCAGGAAGTTGAATTTTAGAAGAGCAGTGTTCTCTGAAGAATCTAATGTATGGGGCCACTGCGCTTTTGTTGGAAGGGCTGACGGACGTGAGTCCTGGGGATGGGGGAAAGAACTGTCAGACACATCCAGGCCTCCAGACTCAGGCAGGAGGCTCAGGGAAGAAGTGGATGCTCAGTGGACCTGAGGGCACCCAGAGGGAGCTGGCGCCTGTGTGCTATAAAAGGAATGAGATGAGAAACCCCTTACTCCCATGACACTATAGGCTGTGGTGTGCTCCCCCCTCCCCCAACAGTTTACCTGCAGGTAAACTGAGGAGCCCAAAGTTGGATCCAAGTATCTAGAACAGGGGTGGGCAAACTTTTTGACTCGAGGGCCACAATGGGTTCTTAAACTGGATTGGAGGGCCGGAACAAAAGCATGGATGGAGTGTTTGTGTGAACTAATATAAACTCAAAGTAAACATCATTACATAAAAGGGTACGGTCTTTTTTTTCAATAGTTTTATTCATTTCAAACGGGCCGGATCCGGCCCATGGGCCGTAGTTTGCCCACGGCTGATCTAGAATAAGCTCTCGTGTTGGAGCGGCTAGAAAATGGTCCATGTGCGAATGTATACACCACTGCCCTCGCAATACCCTGAGGAGTATTCCTCCCTCAGACAGATCGTGATTTGGAATTACCGACTGATTAAAGATTTCTCTTTCCCCACACTCCTACTTCCAAAAAAAGGCATTTTAGCAACATTTTTGGAGCTTTGAAAGTAATTTTAGATTTTGTGTGGGATAAAAACATACGTACGCCCTGGTCCCTTTCCTCAATTTAATGTAGCTGGAAGCCAAGCTATTTCCTGGGTTTAAAGCCCGGTTCTTCCATTGTGTGTCCTTTTCAAATTTCTTAATCTTTGCCTCAGTTGCCTCAGCCTCAAAACAGGAATATTTAGTAATTCATCTCACAGGGTTGTTGAGAGTATTAAATTCCTTAATACATATAAAGCATGTAAAACAAGGCCTGGTACTTAATGAATCTATGAATGTAAGCTGTCATCATCATTGTCGCATTATTGCCAGCATCATCTAGAGGTGACACACTATAGGAAAAGAAGGGTTTCCAATCACTTAAGGACAAAGTAACTTAGTTACTTTGTTAAAACTTAGTAACAACCTGTCTAACTTGAGAGAGTACAGATAGAATTTTTTTTTCTTTTTCTTTTTTTTAAGAAGGAAGCGGGATAGGGAATTAGAAACATCAATGAGAAAGAAACATAGATCAGCTGCCTCCTGCACACCCCCTACTGGGGATGTGCCTGCAACCAAGGTACATGCCCTTGACCAAAATCGAACCCGGGATCCTTCAGTCCGCAGGCCGATGCTCTATCCACTGAGCCAAACCGGTCAGGGCTACAGATAGAATCTTATGAGAGTTTGTATCCCCCACAGTATCTTGTTTATGGATGTATGACCCATAGTTGTTAAAAGCAGGAGCTTTCATAAATTAGAGGCAAAAAAAAGGAATAAAATTCAGTTGGTTGAATACATAAAAATATAATATTATAGTATTAGTAAAAACAACTACAATCCTTTACTATATGCTAGGCACAGTGCTAAATGTTTTCATGCATTGTACCATTTAATTTACACAACTCTCTCTAAGGTATTATCAATCCCATTTTTACAGATAAGTTTATGTTTTAGTCATATCATATGTTTTAGTCAAGCATAGTCATATCAATTGATGCAGAAAAAGCATTTGACAAAATTTGACAAAATCCAACACCCTTTCTTTTTTTCCCTCAGCAAAGTGGGAATAGAGGGGTCATACCTCAACATAATAAAAGCCTTATATGTCAAACCTACAGCCAACATCATACTCAATGGGCAAAAACTAAAACCATTTCACCTCAGAACAGGAGCAAGACAGGGATGCCCACTCTCACCACTCCTGTTCAACACAGTACTGGAAGTG